GGCATGCGTATATAGCGGAAGAATCCGAGATGAGTACTAATGGTGGTGTACGTGCGTGATTCCTCATCGAGTTCAATTTGTTGGTAGGCATAACTCAGATCTAGTTTTGTAAATAGATCACCACAGGAAAGGGAAGCGTAAATGTCTTCAATCTTTGGTAGCGGATATCGGTCTAATTCGAACGCTTGGTTTATCGTCCCCTTATAACCCTCGCAGATTCTTATCGTACCATCGCGCTTCAGTACTGGCAGAGTGGGGGCTGTCCAGTCTGAATACTGAACGGGCTCAACAGTACCTTCCAACTGGAGTCGGCGCAGTTCACTTTCGACTACATCACGAAGGGCATAGAGAACAGTGCGAGCTTTCCAGAACCGCGGTTTTGTCTGTGGTCTCAATAACAGATGTGCACTGTAATTCTTTAAAAGTCCTGATCTCGACTGATCAAATAAGACTGCATGCTTCTGCAAAATCTCGGATAACTGCGGATTGTTTTTCACCTGTTTGACGTTCGACATTATGCCAGGAAGGCGCTTAATTCCATCGCGGCCCAGGATGTTCGGACCCGGTCCACCAGAAACGTACACACACATATGACTTGTTGAATTACGGTAAGAAATGCGTGCATTGAAGGTACCAAGCACATTCACCATCTTTCCCGTGTAAGATCTCAACGGTATGTTTGGTGGACACAGCTTCGGAAGTTGGGATAAGGCATCTGGTCTGATCAAAGTGACAGCGGGACTGGTATCAATTTCAAACTCTACCGGTTGTTCGTTTACTTAGACGGATACGACAAACGCTTTTTCTGCTGTAATGGTGCGATTAAAAACGGTTGTGGCATTAATCCAATTCTGGCGCGATTCATCAGTAATGCAGTTTGTAGCCTTAGATTGTTCCTGGAGGAGTGATTTCCGCTTGGAGAGACACGCTTTCTGAATATGACCAATTTTTCCACAAAATCTGCAAAATGAATGAATGTGCGGACAGTCAGTCGGGGACAAGTGATTCTCCCCTTAACGGTAACAACGGAATTCCTTGCGCTGTACGAGGCTGACTTGCCGAACAACCTCCTCGTGGTACCAGCTGGGTGGTTTGGGATTTCCCCGTTCCAGCAAATGGTTCGGAGGCAGTGTTCCAGGACGTGGTGGGTTTTCGCCTGGCAAGCGTTCTCCCTATAAAAAGCCACATATGTCCGTTTAACAACACTGTGACGTGGCGGACGTGACTCGCCATTACATAAAATCACTGCCCCTTGCTTCACACTGGCGAAGCATTGTATTCCGGCAACGTCATGCTGTACTTCTGGGGGGCATTGGGCCCCTGTTTGACAAAGGAACAAACGAAAGGCTTAGGAACTGAGCAATCAGTCACCGGCTCCCAATGGTCGCGATTCCCTGAATTCGCTCCGCCGCCTTGCGGGCAGACTATTCAGCCAGAGGCTCAGGGTGGTGTCCCATAAGTCAACACCCTACTTCGGCTTGGGCAACCGGGTAGTATCTCGCCCTCTGAGAAAACCATGGACATTGTTGTGTTGTGTTTTATTTTACTGTTTCTGGACCTTCGTTTGAATCCTATGGTTTCTGATGGCATTATGTCTTTTAGCAGACTTTTGCAAATATATATATATATATATATATATATATATATATATATACGAGGCGAGGTAAGGCATGTCCACGGTTAGTCTGGTAGACCTTGTTTACGTCATGTGAGATTGATTGCTTTGAAGAGGGAAATGTGGCTAGTTCCTGGACGAGGTTGGCACGCTGTCGGACTATATCACATGCTTTCTCCCACGTCAGTAGCGTTTCATCTTTGGAGAGCAGACGTTCTCGTGCCTTCTCATTGAAAACACCCACGATTAATGCCTGTAACAGCATCGCTTCTTCGAACTGGGCTGGAAGGATCTGATCATAGGCGCAGTCAGGGAGAGCAGTAAGGAGAAGAGAGGTAAACTCATTTACAGTCTCATTTGGTTGTTGTCGCATGGTGCTGAATTTATACCGGGCAGTAAACACATGGGACTTTTCCCCCATATGCGGTCCAGGGAATAGAACACAGCTTTTAGGTCTCGCTTCGTATGTAGTTGTGAACTGTCGAAATGTTGCTGGCCCTCGATGCTGAGATGGTGGCGTAGTAATTTAATTTTCGCTGCATCATCAGTCGTGCGATTTCCGCCAAGGAGCAAAAGCAAATCAACGTAGTTAGTAAATGTAGTTTTCCACTGCAACCATTGTTGTGCAGTAGGCCTTTCAGTAGAAGAATTCCAAAAGGGTTGGGGTGCCGTTATTGAATTTGCCGTGAGCAATCAGAATAACCTCCGTCGCCAAATTGTTACACTCAACCGAAATCAGAACAACAGTATTGCAAGTGGAAGTTTAGTAGAAGCAATGGCAATAGTACATCGGCAGTCCACACTGGGTACAGAGCAACTGTGTAGTTTTAAGCAAGTCACATGTTTTAGCTAAGCACTCGCTTTTGCACCAATCAATAAGCATCGCTGGTTAGTCGGGAGATAGACACTCACGCACTAGCGCGCACAATGCAGCTCCACAGGCTAGGTAGTGTAGCATGACCTTGACGCGCTCAACGTCTGTATCAGCAGGGCAGTACATTATCGAGTCGAGTTTTGAAATCGGTTAGCGAAGCAGCGAAAATAATAGAAATCCAGAGAGCGTTCCATGCGTGGCGCACAGAATGGGGCGATGGATTTTCAGCGACGCTGCAACCGACTGCCTTGTGTGGACAAATTTAAATATTGGACTTCTCAAAACCGATAAACCTAACTATCCTCTTCGCCCGGTTTGGACATGAGAAATTGCCCGTACCACTTGATTGATCGTTCCTTGGTCTACCTTCTTGAGCCTGTGACTAGACTAGTCTCAGTATATCCCAAACGGACACTCGAGTTTATAGATGTCGTACATGAGTTTGAAGTCACGAGCCAAACTATGTGATCTCTCTCGACGTCACCTCAATGTTCACGAATGTGCCTTTATTTGAAACGATGGATTTCATCTGCTACTATGTTGACGAGAACAACCTTAATATTAGCATACCAACTCTGGCCCTGAAATAACTACTGCTCACGTGTACATTTAATGTGCAGTTTCTATTCAACGGGGATATATACCGACAGCGCGATGAAGTTGCAATGGGTTCTCCGCTTGCATTATTCCTCGCTGACTATTGTATTGGAGTTTGAATAGGGTAATCTGAAAGCGACCATCAGCAGCCTTACCTTATAGCACAAAATATATTTAGGTGAAAGCGTCGGCGCACTGCATTCGGGAATCCGCCGTGACTAAGAGTTTTAGAAACCGTTTCGATGGTTATTCCTGGAGTTTCCTTAAAGATCTCGCACACGGAGTGTCCAAATGTTTTACCCTTTGCTGCTCAGTTCAATATATGTCGAGCCGCAGTAAGTGAAAATACACAGCTCGACAAATTAACCTATACAAGGTGTGAGAGTGGTGGATCCCCACCACACTACACGCATCGACTAGCGGCGCATAACTTTTAGCAAGTGGAATAGATTTGCTCGTGAATTATAAACTTATTTGCTCAAGGCAGGCAAAAAGTATTGCGAAGAACGAGCAAACCATCCGACCTTACTACTTTTCGCAATATTTTCAAGGTTTACCTGAGGTGAAATGTAGGATATACCGTCCTGTTTAATGCAAAATTTCGCTGCTCTTGAGGCTCTACAATGCAGAGCAAATATGGATGTCAACTGACTGTTACATTTCTTTTGCTAACCTAGCTTGTAGGCACACGGATTTTACAGAGGACACTACATGTTTCTATGGGGTAACCATATAATGCTAACAGATCCTCAAGGACCTAAACTAAGCATACCGCCGTTAATTGAAACTTAGTCAGCACTCCAACGTGAGGCCCCTAGTTAAATTTGTTCACAGAGCTTAGTCTGATTTTCAGAAACTTGGTCCTGTGCCTAGTTGGCATGGCGGAATGAATCTGCTTGAAGGATACTGTTTGCGAAGAGCTATGGCGTATACGATCGACGCCGAACGATAATGCTTACCCAGAGAATTTTGTTTATGCCAATATGAGGTGAAAAAATTGAGGCACCTGCAGTCTGACAGTGGGACGAAAGGCTAGTTTCGTGCAACTGCCTTAAAAATTGTAAACGGTAGTAGAGCTACTATGTCGTCGTCTTTCTCTCTATCACACACACACACACACACACACACAGAGGAATGCATCCAAGCAGCGGGGATGCAAATTCTATTCACCAGCAGCCCAATGGTGAGACAAAAATCCAAGGACTAGCTGTCTGTCCACATCAGCTCGATGTGTGTTTACTCGTTCACCTGTACTTGCGAGGCAGGTTACGTTGGTCGTACGACAAGGCGCTTTTCTGGAAGCGTGATGAAACCCCTTCCGGTCTGGCTCGGAAATGGAGATCCAAAGGCTACCAAATCCGCGATGGCAACGTATCTTGCGGATACGGATCACGCCACATAGTCGGCTGATTCGTCCAAAGCAATCTATCAAACTCCAAAAAATCGACCAAAGTATTTCCGCAAGTGGATGATAGACGTTGCAGTAGCCATGGCAATCCGGTTGTACGAATCAGAGCTGTGAACGCAGGAACGGTTCACTCATGCGTTAAGTCTACCTTGGCCAGAACGGTTTGCAGTTGACCCGTGTGAGGGGTATACTGCAACTGAGACCCGATCGGCGATGCTTGTCTTCGCGCATTAGAATCAAATAGCTGACTGACGACCCGTTGGGTCAAATTTCTAGATGAATTTCTAGCAGAATATGATGCTGCAGAATTTTAACTTTGTTAATCCCAAATAGAAACGCAATCGGTGATGTAAACATTGTGTGATCTCAGAAATCTCTAGATGCTAGGCCGCTTAAACGGACATAACTACCACATTAACGCGAGCAGGTTACTAAACCTTGCAGTATATCGTGTGACACAGATTGACACAGATTGGGAGGTAGCGTTGAGTATTGAAATAGCCAATCGATACAAGGGCAGGATGGTAAATCCAGGTAAGTAAAGAAGGATGGACCAAGCGGCCGGTTTCAAACCCAAATATCAAACTTCTCATCCAGAATGGCTCATGGAATTGTACTTATGGTAGGTTAACTCTGTTGACGTATGTCGCTCTTTTACGCACCATGCTGTTTCGTTTTGTTCCAGGGTCCATTGTCGATTTACTGATGTCTGCCCCTGTCATCTCAAAAGTAACAGCTTTGCCCTTACAAGTAGATATATTATAGCCCTTAAACTGATGTGCGTTCAACGCAGTTAGGTCCACTTTGTAACGCGACCAGTTGAGAGGGGGTGACTGCACCCCAACGGATCACTTAATATTATCGGCCCAGAGTGCACTTTTTGCAGTGCAATTCCCATGAAACTGAGATTTCAATGTCGGTAGGGGGCGCACTTGATCGTTCAAGAAAGAGCGAAAAAATGGAGGAAAATTATAATCAACGCTCAAGCCCCTCTTCGTGTTCCGCACTTATGTGAGGTCCCATGTAGAATATGACATTCGGGTCAGGCAACCTTGCTGCTCTTTCGACACCACAAAGAATAGTGACCACGAATATCAACGGCTTATCCAATCCTCATTACCAAGCTGGACTGATGATCCGCGGAGTTTACAGCAATATCGTCCGTATCTGCGGTGTAATCTCCGAACAATATATCGGATCTTCAAGGTCCCTACCGCACCTAGCCTCAGCTATCGAAACATAGTCGGAACACCTCACGGAAGGTCACTAGTTAACTTTGGTAACAGTATAATCGGTTGGAATACCCTCGGATGATATTCTCTCTTCATTTGCGTTATTTACGCAGTTATGGTATTCGGTTTCGGAAAACGACATGATAATGCATTACTCAACCTACATTGTATGATTCAGTCGCATCTAAATGGCCTACGTGATGCCTAAGTAAACTGTTGCAAGTACTGGTATTTCATCTGTGTGGATAATTCGCTTAACGAAACGGCTTTCTGGTTTTGCTGCTTTTAACTACCGAATCAGTTTGTTGTTGCCTATTATACTCGCAATAATTTCCTGCATTAGTCCAATGTTACTACTGGAGCTCAGCTTCAGCGCAAATCTCTGCGCCCATTGTTGGAAGATTACAGTCCCCTGTATAACCCGTGTGATTCGGATAGGCAATTTGAAGTACTCGGTGTGTGGATGGATTGCGACGCGCAATCTCAAAGTGGACCGCGATTCCCATTGAAGGGAACCTTAGCCATTCGATCACTAGGACCGTAGCTGGTGGCGCAGAAGCAAATTGGGTGTTGCGCGCATGAAAACACAGCACTCCATGAGGAGTTTTGAGGTTATTTCATCTCAGTAGGTAAAGATGGCAGGTATCGAACCTGGGACCATTGGGATGTTTATTGTAAACGCTAACCCTATGCCAACGGGTCAGGACGAACGAACTTTGGCGCAACGATTAATGACAGACTGGAGGGTCAATTTGTAGTACACGTTGTGTGGATTTATTATGGCGCGTAATCTCCAAGTGTACCGCGATTCTCATTGAGGTGAACCTTGGCCGTTCAATCACTAGGACCGCAGCTGGTGAAGCTGAAAGAAATAGTGTGTTGCACGCCAGCAAACGCTGCATTCCATAAAGAGTTTGCATGTTATTTCATCTCATCAGATAGAGATAGAAGTCGTCGCAGTCCACTTGTGATTTCGCATCGAAATCCATCCACACAAGGAGTATATTAAATTGGTCTTCCACTCTATCATTAACGGTTTTGCCAAGGGTTGCCAGTTGTGACTTGGTGCCTAAGGGGTAGCGGTCACGACTAATATCCCAATGGACCAAGGTTCGACGTCTGATGAGAGGAAATAATATCGAAGCGCCTACAGGAGTGCAGTGTTTTCGGGCGTGCAACACCCAAAGCCCCGAAATTCCATTTGTTCGTGTGTGCCATCTCTTGGACGCGCTATCTGAAGGGATTGTTTTGAAGACAACGCTAAACATACTTCAGACACACAGCGTTTGAATTCCATCCCTTAACATTTTTTTATTCCGTTCCATTTCTGTTAAGAAGCCCTTCGTTTTACTTACCGACACCTAATTGTGCAGCATACAAAACTGCTGAAAGTCAAACACGGAACAAGAAGATTGCGTTTTGTCAGGAAAACACAAAATGATTCTATTTTAAACGTCAAGAAAATGCATGCGACCTCATGCAACAAGGCTTTTAAAACGCATGCTTCCTAATTATTGTCCATTGTTTATTATTCAGTGGTGGAGCATATTTGTTTGACTTCACACACCGCCATCCACAGTGCCCTTGGGTAAACATTGTCTTTTTCAACAGAACGTGGAAGCCGCTTTCTCAGTGCAACAGCGGCATGTTTCTAGTTCCCGGCGTCAGCCTAATGATTGCGATGTTCGGTGAGGTGAAAGGCCGGACACATTCAAACAACTATCGTACACTGTCGCTCCAAAATCAATCAGTCGATCTTCGATGCCCTTTCCCCATATATGCTCATCACATTGTCAAGCTTCTTAGGCGGCAAGCGTAAAGGTCGCTTTTGAGCGATAAGGCGAGGCAAGGAGCCATATGACTGTGAACGAGGGAACTCCATCCCGCTCAATCTAGCACAGCCATATCAGTGAACCAGAGCTGATTCGATACGCACGCGTATAAATCGTCTAAGAGTAGGGTGGTTGGGTCAGGAGAAGACAGCCTCATGGATGGACAACTGAAGTGAATAGAGAATTTCGAGTTGGCCAAATTGATCGTCCATGAAGCAAACAGACAAAAGTTTAGAACAACTTAATTACAGCGACATTCTCATGCGGGGCGATACTTAGGCGCCGAAAACCATGTTGTTATCTATCCTCGAATTTTCAGTTCACCAGCACAGCATGAAGAGTTGCGTCATAACGGATGTCGAGTTGAAAACTCATGTTTGTTCATGCCATGAAGACCGATGGGGCCAACTTACATTGAAATTGTGCGCACAGTTTAGCCACCTGGAATGCCAGCAAAATTATTTTCGGGTTTGTCAACGTTGGAACACTCCCCCAAATTTCGTTGTTTCCCCCCAACTTGGAAATCTTTTAAAAACGATGGTTCCGGCCCTTGGCCCCCACTCCTTCGTTGCGTAAACTGTGCGAAGTTGGAATAAATTAATTATCCATGCAAAACGCATTAACATGTTATGTAAACATGAGGATACGGGACAGAAGTGAGTAATTTTGTTGTTACTTTCACGTGTAATACATCAACTAACTGTCCCGCTTTTGCCTCGTTGTTCATATTAAATTCCCACTTTCACTACCACTATTGAGCATCGGATCTGCTGCCTAAACGCTCAGACAACTCACCTATCGTTTGATAACTGTAGTTTTGCCCCGACCATCCTGCGGGACTTATCAAGCAACTGCTACTTTACCCGACGCAAATCCTCGTTCATTGCCTGCGGTTTCATAACGGTAGCAATGGTAATACCTACATAAATAAATAGTTTATTCTCGCCTACGCGAGGCACGCTTACGCAGGCATGATTATGGTACGAGTACAACGAGTGATCGAGCAATGTTTGTGGGTGTATAAACGAACAAACGATCTCGCTTTCCACTAACCATGCACGGACGCACAGACATAAGCGCACAAGCACAGGCGGTCTTCACGATTTGTCATATGACATCACGTTCGACCAATCACCAGAAAGATCCAGACCGCACATCATTGGCCATTGGAACTTTGTCGCTCATTCCAGACTGCGGGAACAACGAAGGAGATAAATAGCGAGCGGCTGCGCTTGCACACGTTTGGCAAGTATTTGACTTTGTACCATGTCTAACGGCGACCAGGAACGAAGTATTCCGATTACCACAGATTCTCGTACGTTTGAGCAACGACAAAAAGATTTCCTGACCAATTTGGAGCGTGGCCAGCGACAAGTGAGTCGAGCATTGCAGAGGAACAACTCTGCTGCAGATGCACTTGACGGCACTTTCAGACACGGAATTCGTGACTGGACGGGTGAAGTGGATCACTGGTTGGGTGAGACACTGAGGCGATGGAACGACTACATGGAGCGCTTGGAACGGGGAATATTCACTCTGGTGGTGAGTTTGGTGTTGCGAGTCATTGAAAACACTTAAGCTGACATGTGGTTATACTGGAATTTTCCGGCATCTCCACTGGATTTTACTAGACCATAGTTACTACCTGCCCGCATGTATATTTTGTGCAGCCAGCGATCGACTTGGATGCTCGTCCGGTGGTGTCATCGGGATTACTTGGCCATATTCCGTCAATTGTGCAGCAGATGGAGCGTCAATTGCGGGATGTGCGGCGTTATGTGGATGAGATTCAACCGGAGCTGATGCGTCGGGGTGATACGCGTGCTTCGTTGATTCCTCGTGAGAAGAGAGAGGGTGGTGCATTGGACTTTTTGAGGGATGCGTATGAGGTTGGTGAAGACGGTAAGGTGAGTTCATACGTGACATGCATGTTTACATATTCCCATCCAGGTGCGTTCTTTGTCCAACTAGAAAGTACAGAGTACCTAAGGGTTTAAGTTTGTTGGATTTTCATGTTACTAGAACCCTACTACTTGTCTGTAGAAGCCACAAATCGTCGTCTCCTCCCATTTGAAATCTGTATTCCGAATTTGAACCTCAATTCGTTTTAATCTATGTGATTTACTGGGGCTGTTTGCGAATGTAAATCGAGGTGCTCTCTTTGGATTTTCTTCCGAACTGCTTACAGCTATCCAACTCGATGTGGTTTTAACGATGTGATTCCTTCAGATAACTTCGACAATACAACTGTTCTGAAGCGACTATAAATTAATTATTTAATTGCTTAGATGAAATCCTTTCCCCTTGATTACGATTCAAACAGAAATTATTTCTGGTTACTACATCGTTCAAAATGAGAGTTGGGTCCACTTTTGAGTAAAACTTTGGTTCGCCTGTGAATTCAATTTTTCTGGGTTTACAAACCGGCGTTTTGTCAAACTCTGGACATAGATCTCGCTGTCAGAACCGCGAGCGCAAGTCCATCAGCTCCGAGTACAATCGCTGCTTAATGGGCTCAATTTCTCATTTGACTGATTGTGGTCCACTCAGCGTATTCCGTCTTGCCTAATGAGTTTTGTCTGCACTCGCTTTCAGCTGCGTTTCAAAGTGAAGTTCGACGTGCGCGGATTCGGGCCGGACGATCTGAAGGTCTCGGCATCGAAGAATCGCCTCACAGTGCACGGTAAGAAGAGTAAGAAGACAGACACTTCGTTGAGCTCGTCAGAGTTCTGTCGCACCGTGTACCTGCCAAACTCAGTGGACGAGGAACAATTCAAGTGTCACTTTACTGGGGTGAGTATCATGCACGTGATTTTCCCTCACGATGCATTGCGTGTACAGTTGCGCCTCGTGTTCTATTTCAACCTTACGCATGTTTTCTGTTTGATTGTTTAGGATGGTGTGCTGATGTTGGAGGCGCCGGTGAAGGTATCGGACTATCAGTCGTTGACGTTCAGCAGCAACGAGCCTCAGTTGGCAGTAAAACCTGTAGCAGAGGGATCGTTGGCTCTGCAAGTGACAGGTGGGTGATCATCTGCTGATTGGTTCTATCCCCGTACACATTTTAGCATCCTGTTTCCACTTTTAAAGCATATTTACGGTTCTCTTGCACTTGAATTGCGCACAGGTGTGGCTGGATTGACGGTAGTGGATGACGGTGCTGGCGGACAGAAGTTGCATGTGGAAGTGCCGATTGACGCGGAGTACAGTAGCGCGGACTTGCTGGTACATACCGGTGCGAACCGTATTGTGGTGTCCGGTCGGAAGCAGGTGATTGAAGGTTCTGGCGCCTCGCAGTGTAGTCATTGGAAAGAGTTCAGTCGGACGTACAATGCACCTGAGACGGTGGACCCGTTGTCTGTGAAGTCGGAGCTTCATGGCAGCGTATTGGTTGTGGAGGGATCGTTGGTGAAGTTGCCTTGAGTGATGTATTTGGTCTTCGTAGACTACTTTGCTTATTCCATTTTCCATAAATAAAACTTTCTTTTTGCTATTCTATTGAGGTGTTCTGCGATTCTCGGTTATTAGTCACCAAGATTTCGTTTAACTCTGACTGGTGTGGGATTGTGCATAATTCCTTGGTTGTTGGTGGGATAGGTTCGCGTTTATCCTATTTGATCTCTAGTCTCTGCAGGTGATTTATTTCACCGCATCGTTGATGTTATCCCTCCACCTGGGTTGTTCTCTCGCTAGTCCGCAACTGGTCTCTAAACTCTGTCACATCCTCAGTGATCACGTTCTGTGGTCGGATGTCTGTGCTCCGATATCCCGCTTTTTGTTCGTTTCGTTCTATTGCAGCGGAACTTTTAAAAGTCCTGGGTTGATGAAGCAGTTTCTTAACCAGCTTCCCTCCGGGTTTTCCTGATTTTCTTTTCACTCAGTGGGGCAGTCAATTAATTTTTCGGTTGGGAGGGTTCTGAGCAACTTCGTGCGTTACAGTCATTTGGATTCAGGAGCTCTCATGATAGTGCGACGTCGAGGAGCTTGATGTGGCTAGATTCAAATAGGAAGATATATACAGAACTTGGAGTGGCGTTCGAAGACTCCTAGCAGGTGCACGGTATCTTAGCGCAGCTACGACCTCGTACGTGCTCTAGCTTGAAACTCTATGCAGCAACACCCTATAGTCCCAGCCAATCAACCGAAACAATGGATGGCAGCGAGTGTCATCTTGGGCCGTCCGTGGGCATGCTTGAAGGTGCTCCGGTTAGATTGGCACCATGGGACTGGCTGTCTGCTGCGAGTATGCATGCATCTGCGGTAGCATTTTTGAGCAACCGTTTGTGCCGATTTCGTAACATCATTGCATCATCTGGTTACTAGGCTTCCTACATGGCCGACAAAGAGCGCGTAAATCCAATCCATTCGTCTTAATCTGTGCGTTCCCTAGATTTGTTGGTTTTAGATGGCAAAAATAATTCGTGAGTCTCAGCTGTGATAACCAGGTCAACGGGAATCAACGCCAAGGCGGATAGTGAAGCAGGAGTACTAGTTGGTATTGCAGAGAATGACGAGTGCTGGTTCATGGAATGCGTGAGAAAACCGTACTTTCTGCCGGCTGCCGCGCCGCGGAACATTTAGTCGCGTACGAAGCACTTTACAATCGTCATTTGTCGCACGGAAATGCTTTCCGCTAAATGCTAGGCGGCGAATATCTTCATCAGTCTTGGTGATTCACATTGAAACGCAGAAGAGCGGCAGGATGGTAACGTTGCATTACGTAGCTCGCATGGATTCATTCACATCTGCGCTATTGAATATAGTTGCTAATTTTAGGAGAGTCGCTAATTATGGCGATCAAATAGGCACACTCCGTGCCAAGACAGGTCCTGGAAAGTGGCACTAATCTCACGAGACCTAATCGAAAAAGAACGAATTATCCTATTTGGAGTAACTAGTATAATCAGAAACGAGGTTAGATATTGTCTCCACGCAAGACGACACTACGGGACGCATTTCATACCAGTTGGCGCTCGTCAGGTAGAGACAGCGGAAATGCGAATGAGACTCGAGAGGTACAGAGCACTAACAGATGAGTCTATCACTACACACCCAAGACGAGGGCAACCCTCATCCCAGTGTCTAAGTTTTGTTGGGGGTCATTATGAAGCACTTGCATTATGCAAATAAATATTGAGTGTGTTAAGCGTTTGTATACTTGTTAGTGTTTTGCGGGAACTTTCTGTCTCAGATGCAGTTAACTGATCCCATTCTCTCATTCCGCATTGACGAAGTAGGGCCAAACCGGTTGAAGCGTTAGGTGCATCTTCATTGGCCAGCCCCAGGGAGATTATCTCAACTAATTGCGCAATCCCGAGGTCGCAAGAAATGAACATATATAAGCCGACTGCAGGACGTAGAGAGGCGTACTGCCTGAGACCATCTAAAATCACTAGTATTGTTTCGTACTTAGAAAAGCACAGAAAGAAGACGAAACCCGGTAGGGTCATACATTGCGTATTGTCACCACGGTTACATACCTCTTCCAGCTCAAACATACTGATTTTATTGAATAATTGACCGCAAACCAGACGAGGTGATCGCAGTTCTGCTGTAACGTGTGCATGAAATCACGTTTCCAAACCATTCTTCCCGGAACGTTGAAGTGCATTAACGGAAATCGATTTACCTGAGGCTGTCTGTTCAGTAGCCGTGCGGGTGAAGGGTAGACGCGCCAGACAAATCGACATGGAAAATGGACAAACACGTGAAGCCAAAAGCACACAGGGATTGGCAGAGAGATCAGATGACGATTGAGCCGCTGCGGAAGCTACCTAAAGCGAAGATAGCAAACTGGCTGAACCCTTAGGTGTGTAAGGCTGTTGCATCGTCTAGTATCGTTCATGGAACACAAATGCGGTCTATAGAATCCGTCTAACTTTTGTGCTTGTAGCAGTGCCATTTTAGAACTCAGGGGTCTAAGATGTATCGCTGCTGTCTAACGATCAAACCACAATAGGGACTTCGATTGATGGCCATGACTACGATTCATTTGTTTGTACCCGAAATAGTACAGTAGGTTGAACTAAAACCAATTTAGCCTCGTCGAACCACGCTGTCACTGTCGTAACCTCCAATCACTTTGGTCGTGTATCTAGCGCAGGAATAGTGGCAGATACCAAATCTGACCAGACAAGTGCTGAGGTTGGCATCAAGGAAGAAAGTTACCTCCATCAATCTATATTGTGTGTGTGAAAGGACATATTGTTTTGCTTAAAAGTTGGTTGCATTGAGCAGTTACGAACCAGTATTACCTCATGCGGGGATGTGGTTATGTGCTGGCATGAGTGATGGTCTACATGCCAGGAACAGGATATATGCAATGTTGTGATGTGATCTTGAGAATTACCGGGAAAAAATGGAAGTCAGAGGGTGGAAAAATAGTTTTTGTTTTGAAACGGAGTTGAACATTATGTCGAAATGACACTGAAAGCTAGAGCAAAAATACAAGGCAGTCGATCAAACCGTTCCTCGCTGAGGAAAGGAAAGCTGAGTAAAAGGAAGGTTGGAAGATTTCAAGTAGGTTTCCTGTATCTAAACTTGGTCACTCAACTGCCTCATGCCCGAAAACTCGACGGGTGACTATTTCCACCTACCGCGATTTTGATACCTTTGGAGAAGGAATTTTGCCCGCTATATTAGAACTGGCTGTGCAGCTTGGCCATAAGTGACCGGAACCCATAATGGTAGCGCTGTATATGCTATTCGGTTTATGGTACTTGGTCTTCTATGACATAATGTACTAGTGACAGAGGACCAGATTGTCTCTACTATCGACTGCAGTAATATCCTAGGATTTTTACTGGAAGTAAGTGCAGGTGTGGGACAATAGACCAATGGATTTATGGTGAGTAAAATGCGAAATACGTAACAATTTGCCTAGTTGAACGTAGTAAATTCAAAAACTAAATTACCGAAGAAATAACTCAACTCACGTTTCTCGTATCTATATACAGTCCGTCTACTTTCGGAGCTGAAACATAGAGTACAGTCAGGGCAGTGCATTATCGAGTCGCGTTTTGAAATCGATTAGTGTAAAGGCGAAAATAATAGAAATCAAGAGAACGTTCAACGCGTGGCGCACAAAAGGGGCGAAGAATTTTCAGTGGCGTAGCAACCGACTATCCTCTGTGGACAAATTAAAGTAGTGGCCTCGCTTGAGGCGCTCTGACTAAGTTTTAATTGATGGCGGTGTGCTTAGTTTACGTCCTTGAGACTCTGTTGCACAATTCTATGGCTAAAGTGTCCTTTGTAAAATCCGTGGGCCTTCAATCCAGATTAGCAAAAGAAATTAAACAGACCGTTGTCATCAATATTTGCTCTACGTTGTGGAGCATCAAATGCAGCGAAGTGGTGCATCAGCGTGGGCTGTCAAACCTGGACGGTTTGTCCCACATTTCGCCTCAGGGAAATCTTGAACATTTGTAAGAAATAGCAAAGTCGAAAAGTATAACCTTCTTCGCATTGCTTTCTGCTTGCCTTGAGCAAATAAGTTTATACTTCACGAGAAAATCAAGTCCACGTGATTAGAAATATTCGCTACTAGTCGATGCGTGTAGTATGTGGGTATAGACCACTCACAGATCTTTATAGGTTACTTAGTCCTGCTCTGGCTTTTCACTTAAGGCGGCTCGGCACATATTGAACTGATCAGCAAAGCGTACAACTTTTGAGCACTCGGTGCGCGAGATCGTTTAGGAAAACCAGGAAAAACCATCGAACAGCCATCTAAAACTCTTTGTCACGGCAGATTCCAGAATGCAGCGCACCGACGCTTTCACCTAAATATATTTTGTGCTATAAGGTAAGGCTACTGATGGTCGCTTTCAGTCTACCCTATTCAAACACCAATACAATAGTCAGCGAGGAATAATGCAAGCGGAGAACCCATTGCAACTCCATTTTGCTGTCGGTATATATCCCTCTTAAATAGAAACTGCATATTAAATGTACACCTGAGCAGTAGTTCTTTCATGACCAGAGTTGGTATGCCAATAGTAAGGTGGTTCTCATCAACATAGTTGCAAATGAAATCAATCGTTTCAAATATAGGCACTTTCGTGAAGAGTGAGGTGATGTCGAGAGAGCACGTCGTTTGGTTCGTCACGTTAACCTCACGCACGGCATCCCTACACTCCTTTAAGGTGTGTACAGAGACTCGTCTAGGCACCGGCTCAAGAAGATGGATCAACCAACGAGTAATCAGGTGGTACGGGGCGTTTCTGATGTCCAAAACCGGACGAAGAGGATAGTTAGGTTTATTTTCACAGACCTCGTTTATAGCTACCATAGTCTTTGTGAGACGAACGCATAGCTGAGTTTCGATCTGCTATGTTTTGTGTCGCCCATCTGTCATTTCCAAACGTTTAATATTTTATGCTAATATTTTACCCATCTTGTTGAGGTAGTCTGCTCTGCTTAGGATGGCAGTGCCGG